CCTCTTAGACCACGCTTCCCATACTCTCGTGGTGACATGGGCTCTAGTGGGATCAGGAGTTAACAGGGGAGAGCGTGCTTGAACCTGCATTTTTCACATGCTGCCTGGGTGATTCAGATGTCAGTGCCCCATAGGACATGTTGCCTTAGGGCATGAGCTCTGGCTAAATTAGAGAGAAAGTCCCTATTTAACATTTTGGATCCTACAAATAGTAGAGCCAGTTTTACGGAAGTGAAAAGTTCACTAAACAATTTTCTCTTGTTCGCTAGCTCTTTAAAATTCAATACAGTTTTTGTTATCAACTGCCATCAGCTTTAATTGGAAGTTGTCCCTTTATCAAGCATTTATTGAGCATCTACTGTGTTCCAGGCACTAGACAAAATGCCTGTGGAAAAAAGATGAGGAAGACACTGTACAAGAGTCTTCTGAAGAGGGAGACAAGAGACATGCCCACCATGGTAAAGTGGGCAGTATGAGAAGGAGAGCAAACTCGGCAGACTCATCTCCTGGCACTGACCTTCACCCTGTGCTTCCAGCATGGCTACGGCACTCAAACCTACCGGCTTCCTGGCTTTAGAACAGGCCGGCGGCACCTGTGCTCTCCATGTCCTCCCGTTTACCAGTTCCTCCTCCTTGCTTCCAATCTTGAGCTCTCAGGCACAGTGCTGGGGGAGAACATCTGTGTAACACAATCGTCATGCACTTCCATGGCTATTTTTTAAAATACATTCCTAGAAACAGAATTTCTGGTCCGAAATGTATGCAAAATATATTAAAGCTTTTGATGCATGTTCCTAGATTGCCAGAGATGTTATTAATCCACACAGCTATCTGCTCAGCACAAGAGTTTCCATTTCTACTGCCTCATCCATGATTGTCACTCTTTTTTTCTTTAAATGTTAACCAAGTTTTAGATGAACTGGTATCTTGTTTTAATTTGCTCTCTTTAATTCTAGTGAAGTTAAAGAAAGTAAGCACATTCCCTATGATGCTATAACAGTATGCAACTACTACTATTTTGCTCTACTTATTTCTTCAATGCTTATATTTATATGTATCTATCAAATTATATACTGCTTTCTTTTTTAACCCTATGAAAATATCATCAGCATTTCCTCCCACATTTCCTTAGAATCTTTGTAGCCATTATTATTAATTTTTTTAGCCATTATTTTTTAATGGCTGCATACTCAGGTAGTTTACACACACACACACACACACACACACACACACACACACACTTTTTTTAAAAAGTCTAATTTCTATTTCTGTTTCTTCAAGAATGCAAGTTATTTCATTCTCCACATTCTATGGAAGTCTGAAGGGAGTAGATTATTTTCCTCATCCACGTCCATTGTTTTCTTCCCACAGGAACCACGAAGCCCCCATACTGGCCTAAGCCTGTTTATGAACTGGATAAAGAGAATGCAGAAAACAATGGCTTCATTAATGATGATTTCATCGTGTGGATGCGGACAGCTGCCTTTCCCACTTTCAAAAAACTGTACCGTCGACTGAGTCGAATACAGTATTTTACCGAAGGCTTGCCTGCTGGTAGTTACCATTTCAACATAACCTACAGTATCCTTTTATTCTATTTCTTTCTGGGATGAAGGAAAATCAGTGTACATCTGGGTACCAGTTGTTGAATTATTTCATTCTGTACCATTTTATTCTCCAATCAAATCTATCTATCTATCTACCTATCTATTGAAATACATGGTTCTCTTATAGGTAATACTGTCACGGTATACCTATTTGTCTCTATATAATCAAATGTGTAACTTTTTAAAAGAAACAACAGTTAATAGCAGTGTCAGGTAAGTAGACATGGATAAGTAGAAAAGGACTGTTTCTTTTACCCAAGAAAGATTAAATAACACTGAGCCTAGAGATCTGAAACAGTGAGGAGAAGCCTGTTGTATAGGATGGGATGAGATGGAGGACCATGGAAATAAAGAGAAAGTGGTTTGATAAGGAGTAAATTTGGAATATGGACTAAAAATAAGTAAAACAGAGAGACTGTAGAACCTTCTATTTTAGACAAAAGTATCATAGACTGAGGGAGCCCTGGCCTCCAGTGGCAGGTCCAGTTCTTCCAGCCCATATGGGGAGTGCTGTGAGCTCTGCACTTAGGAAGCTGTATTCTTCCCTCTCTTAGATACAAAGCCAGCTGGCAGGAGTCAGTGCCTTAGTTATGGACATACAGTTCAGTTTGGGAGACACTTGCTTTAATAGGAGATGCTGAATTTTTTCGCTTAATTCAAAAATACAAATGTAACTCTTGATTTTAAAATAAAAAGGGCGTCACTTCAAAATGACACCAAACACTATCCTTAAAAAATTATACATTTAAACCCAATTTTTACTAACTCTGGTCTTCAGACTTAATTTTAAAGTCTCTCCCTGATTCCCCCAGAATTCTCTGGGAGGCAGAATCTGTCCAGGGCTTGTACTCAGCTTTGGGACGTCAGCGGATTAGGGATCTGCACTCCCCTGTGACATCTCAGGGCTGCTGGCTAGGAGCTGTTCATGGGACCCCCAGCAGGCCAGAGGATCCTAACACAGAATACCTCCTTAGTCTCTTTACCTCTCAGGGAGCTTGAATGAGAAGTTCTTGGGAATAAGTGAGTGAATGATTGCGTGTGCTCCAATTCCCTGCTCCATCTTTTCTTCTTTTCTGTCCTGGAGCGTGGACATCTCCGTCCTGACAGGGGAGTAGGGATGTTCCTCAGTCAGAGACACCCCCACTGATGTGACCCCAGCGCTGCTGGTCAGCTTGCTGCCTTCTTTTGTTTACTGACCAGGAGTACTGTTTGCCTCCAGTGCGTCCCTTTAACAAGGTCTCTGATTCTAGTCTATGAAAATGAAAGCCACAAATTGCTCTCTTTCATGAAGCATTATACATACAGATCAAAGAGTAAACCGTAAAATGTTACCTTTTAAATAAGATTTCAGCAACCCTTCTCTCTTATGCCCCCCAAAATTGAGATTAAAAGTTGCTTGACCATGTTCTCTGAAGTTGAAATCTCTGATCCCATCACCCTGTCTGTGATTGCCTTATCAGTAAAGCAGTTATAGTTGCAATCAAGAAACAGGGGGGGATAAAAAAACCCTACCCTGTACCGCTGGCCTCACAGTGCATGACGGTGAGTTTGGGGTTGAGGAGAAGAGGAAGGGAGTCTGTGTTCTAAACAAAGGAGGCACTGTTTCTCCCCCTGAGACATGCTCTCCTTGCGTGACTTCACTCACAGGCATGTTTTTAATGCTGATGACTCAAGTCTGCATCTTCCACAGGACCTCAGTTCTGGACCTGCACTACCTGTGTCTCCCTGGTGTGACTGTTACCCAACCCGCCTCATGGCCTGGTTAATGTGCACTGAGAAGCACTAAGCCTGAGCTGCAGGAAACGCTTACCACTTCTAAGGGAGACAAGATGTTCTTTGTGTCCTCTCATAAAGACCCCCCTAATGGAACTGAGGGAGAGAGAAAAACAGGCAGATGAGTTGAGGTGGCACCCAAGGACCTGGTGACAATGAGGAATTTTGACGTAAAAGAAAGGGGAAGAACTGGTTTTCTAACAAATTTTCTTATGCCTTTAAATAGCGTGTTGCCAAATGATTCGAGGCCTTTTAAGAGTTTTGCTGGGAAATGCTGCTGTCCTGTGCCGTTGCTATGAGAAGCCTGTATTTGTTTATTAGTTTGGTTTACAAAAGGCACCAGATGTTTAAAAACCTCAGGCCACATGCATAATCAAAATGACATCATTAAAATGCTAACGATAGCAAACCCACTTCAAACACTTTTCTCCCCAGCAGTCTGGGATGCTGGCCTTTTTAGAACCTAAACGAATACCCTACCTTTACTTTTCCCACCAAAAATGTTTTGCCATTTATTTAGCTCTCTATTTTTTTGTTAATCTCTCCTCCTGAAGAATTTTTCCTAAGGTAAGAATTCAAACTTTAGCCTATGAAGGACTTTAGCCTACCCTGGGTCTCCTGCTTCATAAATGAAAACTAAGTTTGTGGTACAGCCTATCTGTATTCTTTTCATTTCCTTTGGTTTAAATATACTTGTACATTAATTAGTTGTCTGTAAGTCATTCAGATCTATCTGTGTCAGATCCTCTTTCATTGATTACAACTATTTGTATGTAGAGGGAAGGCTTGTTTTTACTTAAATTCGTTCCAGCAAGATACAATGTACTACTTGGTAAAGATTCGACCATATGAAATGAAATAGTCAACCTTTTTTTATAAACGACAAAAACAGCAATGAAAAGGTTCAACCTAACGTATTTAGGATATACAGTGGTAGAGCTGAGAAGTGCGATGACAGATCCTTAACAGGTCTGTTCTTAGACTTTCCAGTAACCAGATTCCGAGGAGAAAAATCAGTTGTTCTCTCCACCCTGACGTGGAGTGGAGGCAGTAGCCTTTTCTTAGGTCTCACCTACACAGTGACCGGAGCCATGACGTGGCTGGCCTCCTTTTCCATGATGGCAATTCACTTGATGCTGAAAGGAAAGAAAATGGTCCTCCCCCAGCAGTCAAGTCAAGCTTTAAAAAGAAAAGCAGAAAACACAGAAACGGACAGTGAAGTAACGGAGCCGAAGATGTCTGACAAGCCTCAAAATGACTGGAATATTTTATCAAGAGGAACTGCATTGACAGACCAAGTGCAATTCCAGGTGGATAAATAATGAGAGTTTCAGAGTAAAGAGGAGGAGGAGAAGGAGGGGGAAAAGGCATAATTATGTAGAGGAAAATGTCCTTGGAATGGGTAAGATAAATCATCCTTGAGCTCTAAACCAAGTCTCGGATATTTATTTGAATGCCTAGGAGAGTACCATCACCAGACAAGAGTAAGTAGGCCTGGGGTCCCCAAGCTTAGGTAAATCCTTTTAACCATCAATCAAAGCTCAGACCCGAATCTTTATTGGCTGGTTGAAATTCCTTTTCTTTCTTTCTTTCTTTCTTTCTTTCTTTCTTTCTTTCTTTCTTTCTTTCTTTCTTTCTTTCTTTCTTTCTTCCTTTTCTCCTTCCTTCCTTCCTTCCTTCCTTCCTTCCTTCCTTCCTTCCTCTCTCTCTCTCTCTCTCTCTCTCTCTCTCTCTCTCTCTCTCTCTCTCTCTCTGTCTCTCTCTCATTTTTTTTGGTTGAAATTATTATAGACTATCAACAACAATTGCTGAACATTGAATGGAGCTATCGGGATGAATTTTGAAAACTGATTCATTCAATGTTCTCTCCATTCTATGCAGACAAAACGAAGTTTTCTCTGCTAAGACTAAACCAAGCAAAGGTTATGACAGTGCCCTGATCACATACATAGCAGTACAGCAAAACGAAAGGCTAGGGCGTTCCCTAAAGTTACCTGTGCAGCCAAGAGGGAAGCCCTGAAAGTGACTGATCTCCTCAAAAACTGTACTCAGCACAACACAATTCTAGAGTTTATATTGGAATAACATAGTCTAACATGCATATGACATGGATTTTTGATGCTTGAATTATATGTGTTGAGGCAGTTTCTCAGAGTTCAGCTTAAAAGGTTGGAATTCCTGCTAACGGTCACTTACAGGATACTGACCTAAGTACTTGGTAAAGCTGCCAGGGCAGGAGACCCCATAGATTTGTGTACCGAAGTGACCAGAATATTATACTTTTAAAAGCATGTTTATATTATTTTATTTTATTTTATTTATTTATTTTTAAGATTTTTATTGGGGGATTGGGAAGATGGGAACAGTGTAGGGGAATTGGCGGAAGGGGAACAGACAATTTGCTGTCCTTTTGTTCTTCAGTCTAGTTGTGGAGGACATTGCTTCACTGGCCCAAGATGGCACCATCATTGTGCTCTTCCCTGGCGAGGCACATCAGTCGCTGGCTTCTGGACGGCCACTCACGCTGGCTACTGGCTACACACGGTAGCCCATGACAACCCACTGCAGCAGGGGCTGCAGCCTACGCCATCTCCGGCGACTCACAGCAGCCCAGCTCCAGGTTGAGCTGTTGTTCAGCATCTTAGCTGTGGGATCCGAACCTGGGCCCTCTGGCGTCCCAAGCCAGTTTTTAACCATCGCGCCACTCGGCTGGCCCTATTTTATTTTTTGAAGTGGGAGAAGCTTTACTCTGTGATGGCTCTAGCAGCAGAATTGTCATTGTTAATGAAAAATACAATATCAACATATATTTGTCTGTTTAACAGCCAAGAAAACATTTCTTTGTTGCAACTTTCTGCATTCAACAAATAGTCGAGGGCCGGCCGAGTGGCGCATTGGTTAAGAGCTGGCTTGGGACACCAGAGGGCCCCGGTTCGGATCCCATATATGAGGGCTAATGACACTGCCCTCTACAGCTAAGATGGTGAATAACAGCTCAACCTGGAGCTGGGCTGCAGTGGGTTGCCATGGGCTACTGTGTGTAGCCAGCAGCCAGCGTGAGCGGCCAGCAGCCGCAGTGAGCAGCCATCCAGAAGCTGGCGACTGATCTGCCTCGCGCGGGAAAAGCGCAATGATGGTGCCAACTTGGGCCAGTGAAGCAACGTCCTCCACAACTAGACTGAAGAACAAAAGGACAGCAACTTGTCTGTTCCCCTTCCCCCAATTCCCCAGCGCTGTTCCCATCCCCAATTCCCCAATAAAAAAAAAATCTAAAAAAACCCCAACAAATAGTCGAGTACCTTTCAAAAAAAACCAAAATGGTACTAACTCTGAAATCTTGAAATCAATCCCTATCTCACCTTCCATATGTAACCAGTGATTTCTGGTGACCAGGTGTGGTCGGCTGAATAATGCCCCACCCCCACCCCAAAGATGCCCATGTCCTAACCCTCGGAACTTGTGAAGTCACGTTATATTTCATAAAGAGACTTTCCCTATGTGATTAAGTTAAGGACATTGCTGTGGAAAGATTATCCTGGATTACCTGAGTAGGCTCGTGTAATCATTAGGGTTCTTATAAGAGAGAGAGGCAGGCAATCAGAAGAGTAGTAGGAGATGTGGCAACAGAAGCAAGAAGTTGGAGTGATGGAAGGAAGGGGCCATGATCCACAAAATGCAGGCAGCCTCTAGAAGCTGAAAAGAGCAAGAAACAGATCCTCCCCAGAAGCCTCCAGAAGCCCTACTGATTTGAGACTTCTGACCTCCAGAACTATAAGAGAATAAATTCATGTTGTTTTAAGCGGTGAGCATGTGGTTATTTGTTACAATAGCAATAGAAAATTCATATACCAGGGGTTGGCAATGCTCTAGTCATCTGAGCAACTGTTGATTCTTGAGCTTAGGTGAGCTATCCAAGGAAGAAGGCTGGGAAGGAGCAGAGCTCGCGCATGAACCAGGCCCATTGACGTCAGATCCCGGGCTCGCACCCTCCTAGTCCACACTCCTCTGACTGGATAAAGGCATGAACACATTGTTACATCCCAACCTTGTTTGTCAGCTTAGAGGATGCTGTATTGGTCAAGGTTCTCCAAAGAAACAGAACCAATTGTGTGTGTGTGTGTGTGTGTGTGTGTAAATAGAGTTATTTTTAAAAATTGGCTCAGATAATTGTGGAGGTTTGGCAAGTACAAAATCTGATGAGGGAGGCTGCAGGCTGGAGGCTCAGGAAAGAGTTGCAGCTCAAGCCAAAAGGCAGCCTGCTGGAAACCCAGGAAGAGTCGATGTTGCAGCTGAATCCTGGAGTCTGTCTGCTGGAGAGTTCCGTCTTGCTCAGGGGAGGTCAGCCTTTTGTTCTATTCAATCCTTTAACTTATTGGATGAGATACCCACATTATGGAGGACAATCTGCTTTACTCTGTCTGCCAATTTAAATGTAAATCTCGTCCAGAAACACCCTTACAGAAATATCCAGAATAGTGATTGACCAAATATCTGGGCATCATGGCCCAATCGAGTTGACACATAAAAATAACCATCACAGAGAGCATCTGCATTCACCAAGTAATCAAGACTTTTCAGAAAAAGTACTCCTCATTTCTCTCTGTGCTAGAATTGGCTCAATGGAAAGGCTTTATACAAAGCCGAAGTCCAGGCTTGAGAAACTAAACTATTCAAGAAAAGTAAGTGCCCGGAATTTATGACAGGATAGAGATGTGTAGTTCTTTTCTGCTTCTCCACAAGTCAGCACACTCAGAGAAGTTTATCTTTACATGACTCTCACCCTGCTGTAAAATCTGGGTACCATCCTCCTTGTTGGGGAAAGAGCATCATCCTTCACAATGAACTCCCAACCTACAGCGGGGAGCTTGGCTTTTCCGGCCTTCTTTCTCTCCTCTTCTTTCCCTTCCCTCCCCCATCATCTTGTTCTTCTCCACTTTTCTAATGCTTCATCCTTGTGCTTTGTGAACCGGTTGGTGAAGGATTGGAAGAAGTAGGTGCTACCCGACTCTTTCTCCAACACCTGGCAACACTGCTAGAGAGAGAGGAAGTTAGCATAAGACCGAGAGAGAGAAAAAATAAAAACGAGAACCAACGAGAGCTTGTGAGTGTGTGACTGTGAGTATGTCTGTTTAGAAACTGTATTGGAGTTTTGAAAAGCTTTTATTTAGGTGTATATTCTAAGCGCATGGGCAGAAGCAGCAGGCATAAAACTACATAGGATGAAATTATGGGTGTATAAATAAAAGTGCATTTTAAGGGGAGGGGTGGAGATAAAAGTGTAGAGTTGGCCTTTATTTGAAACTTACCAATGAAATTCCTACTCTGTGTGACAAGTTCACAATGCCCAGGATACCAAAATGAGGCAGCTGGGGCACCTGCTGCCACGGGACTCGTCTCACACAGATCTTTGTGTCCTTCCGATCCCAAGCGCACGGTAGCGCATGGGTCCGACACTCGCCTCCTGTAGGTTTCTCTCAGTTCCCTAATGGCAGTCTGGCCTCCCCCACAGAAGAGAGAGCGTTCCCCTACGGGGCTGCACCAGAGCACCTACGTCCATACTGGGCACCGAGAGGTGTTCAAGTTGATAAAAACCTCCCGATTTGGACACAACAACGTGATCTTTCCCAGCCTGCACTAAGCCCTTCCTCATGAAGGCTGGTTTTCCATCTGGTTTGTTTCATGGCAGAGGCGTTATTAACCAAATGTTAATAAAAGAAGCCCGCTTCAGACAGCTGCTGGTGGTTTTCTTTTGCAGTGTGTCCAACAGAACCCCGCAGCGCCATGGCCTGCAGTTGTCAACATATTTTGTCTCTGGATGTTCATACATGAAAGGGCTGCAGAGCGGATTGCTCCTGGCTTCTCCACTGGGTGCGACATGGGGAAGCCCATTTCACCTTCTCCAAGCAAGGGGAGTCACTGCAGTGCTCAGCTGGGGTCCGCTCACCATGACTGGGTCAGGGGCCATTGCTAAATCAGCCTTGGTTTGGCAAACAGTGTGTTATTTTGAAGCTCTGATCGCTGCCAACCAGGTTTCTAAAATTTTCATTCTCTTTTTACCTGTTCACAGTATCAGTATTTCATAGGCACTTTTTAGTTAAATGCATTTTAGGGTAAGCCATGGCCCCTGCCCTCCCTCTTTTTTTAAATCTCAACACCCCCCCCCATTCCCACCCCCTTAAAATAGCTATCTGGTAAAATGATTAGAAGAGGGGGTGAAATTGTGAGATTTGGATTGCAATGACTCAGAGAACAGCAAGAGCTCACTTGGGGGGGGGAAAAAAACTCATGCAAAGGGTCAGGCTTGTACAATATCCTCATTCTA